TTAGCCACGAGGATGCTGTGGGAGACAATCACCCTCTCTTTTTCGTGGTTTGTAGAATTTGGCTTTGACAACTGCTGTTTTCTTACATTGTCTGTTAGATTAAACATCTGCCAACACAGTTCCTTTTTCCAAAAGATTTTACACCATACAATTTTTTAATTTTTTAACAGTACGAAATAATAGCCTCAATGCTGCCATACCTATGTGGTGTCATAAAACCTATGAAAAACATCTTTGTAGTAATAACATTAATTACACGTACATCATCTATAAAATGCAAAGCTTTAGTGTTACTTCTGACAAACAGCAGTCAGAAAGGTTTTATACTTTGATGCTTAAATTACTGATTTTGGTCAGTTTGATTTTTCTCATCAGTTTGATTTTTCTCTTCTTCCAGTGAAGAACGATATTTTAAAACACAACTAAAACTAATTTCAAGTATATTCCATCACTGGCATCAAAGACAGTTAGGTCACATTAGAAAAGGATGTTAAGAATAATTAATTCTATGGTGATCAACTGAAACAAGAGTAGAAACCAATCAATGAATCACGGCAAAACTGTGTTTGCCTAACAGATACTCTTGTAGACAATCAGTTCTAGTGACACACACCAGAAGACAGAACAGTTCACAACAATCTAGTAACTGGCATATTGAAAGTACTAGCTTCTTAAGACACTTTGTATGCTTAAAAAAAAAACAAACTTGAAAACCAAAACCCAAAACAAACCAAAAAAAACCCACAATACCACCCCACACTTTTCAAAATACTTTTAAATCATACCTTCAGGTAAATTCTGAATAGAATAAACAATGGCTTCAGGAATTCCCATCTCTTGAATGCCAATATCCGAAGGATGGAAAAGTATTTCTGGAACTGCAAATCTTTCATTTGTTAGACGAAGTATTTGTTCACCAGTCTTGTATTTTCCACTTAACACCATCTCTTCCCTTGGCTAAATTAGAGACATGAATAGGAGTCACTACTTAGAAAAAAGAAATTACATCCTAGAGTATTCAGCTGACTTTTCTCATGTACTGCACAGGTAAGCAATATATTCTACATTAAGTCGTATTATTAACAAATATTTTAAGAATAACACATACTCTGGTATTAAATCTGAAGTGACTTTGCTCTTATCAACAGCAGTTTTGACTGAAGTAAAATAGGCATGCACAAGAGCGGACTTAAAACATTGGGACTGCTTTTGAAACTCCGGCCAACTCAACAAATGAGATAAAACTGTTAAACTGTCTTTATTGGTATGAAGATTTTTCAGTCTCTTCTACAACAGAACTTTGAACTTTCTACCTATTAGGGTATTTAAATGAAATTCAGAGAGACTTACAAAAAAGTATCAAGGCAGAGAAAACATTTTCCTTCTTAACTTTAAAAAAAACCCCAAACAATAATTATATGGATAGGTTGTATGACGGAGCACAAGCATAGAAAGCTACAAGTATTAAATAACAGACCATAAAATGCTACGCTGGAAAAACAGTATTTGATTTTCATCTCAACTTCCTCAGGAAAACTTTACCAATTAATGCATAGCACAGAAAGCAGTTACCACAGAGCATCAGGAAAAAGAAAGCATTTTTAACCTCTCTACTAGACTTGTGCAGGGGAACAGTCCAAAAAATACTTCAGAAACAACACTATTATTACCTTACAAAATCCTTTTTTGATTGTGCTGAAGTCTGGCAAAACATAATCTACCATTACAGTATTTTCCTCCCCTTTCAATCTGAAAGAGAAGAATGTGAAATACAATAGAATGAAGAAAAAGTTCTAAATCCCAACAGCTTTATACTGACAAGACTTTCCTTTGACTTAACCGGAAAATTTGGTAAATAGGAGTATAGTTTTGTTTGTATAAAGGGATTATTCAGAAGTACCAACTTTTATATTCAGTACCATCGTACACATACTTGGCAATGTCCATGTCCTTGTAAAAGTCTTGAGAAACATAACACACATCTTCTTTCACTTGATTAATTACATGTGTTTCATCCATAACATGTAGCTGCCTGGGAAAAGCAAAAAACAAAACCACAGGAAGTTTGAGAATAATTAAGTCTTAGCATTACCTGTCCAGTTTTCCACTGCAGATGAGCAACCATAGTTTTCAAATCACAGAAAACTACTGTCTCAGTATCTAAAATTTGTATTCATTTTACAAAAGCTTAAACTCAAGATAGCAGGTAGCAGATTATAACAGACAAAAATTCCCTTTTCCTTTAAACAGTATTTATTCTAAAATTCACAGAACCAGCACGAATATCCCCACAAACTTCTAGCTCATACCAGATTTCAAGATGATGATCACCATGCTTTACCTGTAAGAGATTATCTCCTTTAGATGGTTGGTTAAAAGCTTTCCTCCAACATTAATCCTACAGAAGAAGAGTAACACATGAAAATCTGTCATTATTAGGTTCAGGCATAGTAAACAATTTTTCTAGAAAATATATACTGCAGTTTACCTGATGATGGCCTCTTTCTTCTTTTTACTTCTACAATAAGGTACAATGTGTGTAAAAGAGTATCCGCTGTCCACAATGATACAACATAGCTCAGATGGATTATCCCGGAAATACCTGTGTGCACTAAGAGCTCCAGCTGAAATAGAGAAAATTTAATTCATTTTTTATATGAATATACACTTTTAGAATTTACATTGATATGAAAATGTACTTGCTTCATATTTTAAATGCCTTTGACAGACTTCCAAGACCTTGATGCATAATACTGCAGCCAACACATGAATTAATTTTGACAGTGGATAAAATCAATGTAGTATATGCCCCCATGTATTCTTTCTCAATAATTCTAGTCCATGTTTAGTTTTCTCTCCTCACGCCCAAGCAGACTGATCACACTACAATTTATCAAACCTATCTAAAAGACTATCCTATGTCCAGCTATCTTTCAGAAGGGCTGTGATGTTATTTTCACATTCCCTGTACGATACTATACATTTAATGACTGGAATGCTGTGTTTTATTTGCTAGTACAAAAGAAAACCAAGCAAAAAAACAGTCCCCAAAAAAGGAAAGCTATCAAAGACTTCATGCAAATTTTTGGTAGACTTTCTCAAATACTATCCTGTTTCAAAATCCATCTGTTATCTCTGTCTTTCTGAGTCTCCTCATATTTTCTTTAATTGTATACCATGACACTCTTAAGAAAGTAAGTATAGCTGGAATTTCTACCAAAAAAAATTAAAAATTAATCCAGTTAGAGTACATATAGGAGCATATTACTCAAGAGCCAGGAAGGAAATGAAGCAATTTCTTTACTATCTTTATATATACATGTGTACGCATATGCATGCATGCATATTTATTTTTTAGGAGGTTAAACTTCATAATATATAAATAATAACTAGAAAGAGACAGACTCACCATTTACTCTAAGAACTGCTTGAAATTGATATTCTTCAAATAGAATTTCATTCATGGATTCTTGTATTGAAGTGAAGTTAAAATAAGGTTCGGTAATAATAATATTGGTATCTACAAAATCCACCTATGAAAAATACATTTAGATTGTCATTACACAAAACTTAGAAAGTAATACTCCATTACCATATTTTGCAGCAGGTGAAGATCATGTAAATCTGAAGACATGATTACCATTTGCAATATCTGTAGAAGCGAGGCTTAGAAAGTTTTAGGTTTCTTCACAAGCAGTGATACAACTTTATCAAATTAATGGATAAAAACATAATAGAAGGGAACACTTTCATACATATTTTGTTCCTGTTACCATCCTTACAAAATTTAATCCAATGTTTTAAAGAGATACCCATAAAGGAACACTACATTACTAATTTAAGATACTTTCCACTAATCCTGTAAACTACAGAAAGGTAAGTCTCTTCAACAGCTCAGCACTTGCATCACAAAATTACTTAACTAATAACCAAAGATGGAGTTCTGTGCAAAGTAGAATCAATAATAAAACTCCCAGTGACCTCTCATGAGGCCAGCAAAAGATACTGGACTTTCCACACTTACTGATATCTCACACTCCTTTAGAGAGGAATTCATAGGGTTACTTCAATCATAACTGGATATGGCCCTAAACATACTACCAGCTGTATTTCTCTATAGTCTTCACTCATGAAAAAGAACTAAAACCAAGTTCTCCTTGCAACCATGACTAAACTAAACCTAGTTCCAAAACTAACATGAAAGCTAAGTATCAAAAGCCAGCACTGTATAATTTTATGTAAAGAGACTAAGATATTTGGATGCACTACATTCATTCTCAGGACCATTCTGCCTCTCGGGTGTTAAAAAAAAAACCCAAAAACTTTCAGAGTATATAACAATATTTTTTTTTAAAGAAAAATTAAAAGGGAAGCCTTACTACACTTCTAGAGCTAAATACAGTTCATGTGATAAAGAAAGTTAAGTATCAGATATTTATAGTTTATACATTCAATTTACTCATGGGCAGAAAATGGTTAGCTAAAGATGGTTACTTAATGTGTATGTCTTTTCGCCTACTGACCTAGATCTCTTTTACATCAGTAGTTTCTTGATCTCTAAACCACACTGTATCTGTCTATAATTATTTTTTAGTAACTTGAACTCTTAATTATACTGATGTGAATTTCTTAACATATGTGAACTGAACTCAGTGTGAATACACACAAGACTGAAAAATTTAAATGTGTTGTAAATTCCTACACCAGAGGTCAAAATAAAAATTTTCTTCAGTTTGCAAAAAAATAAATCCCTGTGATTTCTAATTGAAGGCACTTTCAAAGAGGTCAGTAAGCTCATCAGTTCTATTTAATATCTGATGTACTTATGTTAATTCCATTAGTTAGTACTTAACCTTCAGAAAACACGTAATCAAAAAAAGGCTCTTACTTGATACATTTCTTTTCCAAACAGATAATCCCAAACCTGTCTCTGGACATCCCAGTTGACCAAGTAACCCTGTAGGAATTTAGAAAAAAAAAATTACACTATTTAGAAAATAAAATAATACCAAAAAAAAATTACTTGAAATCAAAAAATGTCAAGTGATTGATAGACTGTCAATATAAAGAAATCTGAGAGTAAAAATGTCTAAATGCACATTTCTATGCTAAGGAGTAAATGTTACATAGGATAAACAAAGTTACAAATATTCTTTATCAATATCTTAATTACTACACTATAAAACCCATGTAAATTGTGTTTCCTATATACATTATTCTCCTTGACAGAAGTCTGTCAGTCTGACCTCAGTGCTGGGGAAGGTTATGGAGCAGAACATCTTGTGTGCCATCACATGGCACGCACAGGACAACCAGGTGATCAGTCCCTGTCAGTATGGGTTTATGAAAGGCAAGTCCTGCTTGACTAACTTCATCTCCTTCCATGATAATGTGACCCACTTAGTGGATGAGGGAAAGGCTGTGGATGTGGTGTACCTGGACGTTAGTAAAGCCTCTGACACCCTGGAGAAACTGGCTGCCTGTGGCTTGCATGAGTGTACTCTTCACTGGGTAAAGAAAACTGCCTGGATGGCCAGTCCCAAAGGTGAATGGAGTTAAATCCAGTCAATGGCTGGTCACAAGTGGCGTTCCCCAGGGCTCCGTGGTGGGCCCAGTTCTGCTTAATATCTTTATCAGTGATCTGGATGAGGGGATCAAGTGCACCCTCAGTAAGTTTGTAGACAACATCAAGCTCGGTGGGAGTGTTGGTCTGCCTAAGGGCAGAAAGGCTCTTCAGAGCGATCTGGACAGGCTGGATCGATGGGCCGAGGCCAACTGTATGAGGCTCAACAAGCCTGAGTGACGGGTCCTGCACTGGGTCACAACAATCCCCTGCAATACTACAGGCTCAGGAAGAGTGGCTGGAAAGCTGCCTGATGGAAAAGGACCTGGGGGTGTTGGTCGACAGGCGGCTGAACACAAGCCATCAGTGTGGCCAAGAAGGCCAGTAGTATCCTGGCTTGTACGAGAAACAGTGTGGCCAGCAGGACTAGGGAAGTGATTGTGCCCCTGTACTCGGCACTGGTGAGGCTGCACCTCAAATACCATGTTCAGTTTTGGTCCCCTCACTACAAGAAAGACATTGTGGTGCTGGAGCGCATCCAAAGAAGAGCAATGGCGAGGTGGGTGTCAGTCTCTTTTTCCAAGTAGCAAGGGATAGGACTTGGTTTCCTATAGGAAAAGTAGCAAGTGATAGGAGTTGTTTTCAAGTTTTCCTCTTGAAACAGCCTCAAATTGTGCCAGAGGAGGTTTAGACTGGATATTGGGAAAAATGTCTTCACTGAAAGGGTTACCATGCACCAGAACTGGCTGTCCAGGGAGGTGCTTGAGTTGCCGTCCCTGGAGGAATTTAGAAAAAGTGTAGATGTGTTGCTTAGGTACACGGTTTAGGGGTGGACATGCCAGTGTTAGCTTTACAGTTGGACTCCATGATCTTAAGGGCCTTTTCCAACCTAAATGATTCTATGATTGTTAAACTTCACACTGCTGAATTTTATTTTTGTATGATGCTACATAGAACCCTCCAGTTGGGGCATATTTTATAAAAACTTTTCCTTAAAAGACTTCACATTTGGCTATAAACTGAAGATATCTTACTTACTTTCTGAAAAGGGAGAATATAAAAAAGACCAGAGGGATCTTTAATTTCATCCAGTTGATTTGCCGTAAAGGTTTTCAAGCGTGCAGTCTTTGATCTGAACTGGCAGTTGGGAATAACGCTGGAAAAGATTGGGAAGTTCCCTATTTATTATGATATGACACACATTCATAGTCTTCACACCACTTCCATAAATAGTACACTTGGAATAATATTTTTGCAGATGTGGTTTGGTTTTAGTCCATTTATTGGAGGCAGTTACCAGGGAAATCTCTGACACTTCTGGTGCCGATGAGGCACCTTTTGGAAAAACAAAACCCACCCCCGGCACTGTACCGCGCTGCCACACTGCCACACCCCTCCCCTGCCGCCAGCCCAACAAAAGCGCGCCAGGGGCTCCTCCGCGCCCAGGCACCCCCAGGGACGGACCCTCCCTTTCCCCTCCCCTCCGCGGGAGGTGCCGCACGCCGAAACAGTC